TTTTTTTGTTTTTTCTGGGGGGGGGGGAAAAAAAATTCCCCTTCCCCTGGGGGTGGTTTTTTTAAGGGGGTTGGGTGGTTTTTCCCTTAAACCCCCGGAAATTTTGGGAAAATGTTTCGGCCCCAAAAAAATTTGGTTTTTTTTTCCCTTCGGGGGGGTTTTTTTGGGGTTCCCGGGGTTTGGGCCATTGGGTTTTTCTTTTGGGGTTTTTTTTTTTTCCCAGGGGGAAAAAATTTTCCCTTTTCTTTTTTGGGGGGGTTTTGGAAACCCGGGGGTTCCCCCCTTTGGGGGGGTTTTTTTTTTTTTTTTTTTTAATTTTCCCCGCCCCCCCCCCTTTTTTTCCCCCCGGGTTTTTCCCCCCCCCCCCGCCCCCCCCCCCCCCCCCCCCCCCCGGTTGGTCTTTCTTGCCTATCGAAAGGGAGCTCGAGGAGGACGGAGGTTCGTTGGATCGGTCATCCGCGGAGGCCAGGCATGAGCTTCTCGTCGCTGTGGAGGAGACCACTCGCGGGTTGAAGGTCTTCCAGGGCAGACAGGTACAGGAACGATTGCGACCCTCCTCTCGTAGCAGACGTTGCTTTGTGTCGGGCCTCCGCCACTGTTTGAAGCCGTCTCATCTTTTACCTTCAAAACATGAGAGAGGTTACTTGCAGGGACACACAGGCGAGGGCATGTTTTGATGAAGGGTGCCAACAGCAGCGATAACAGCAGCAGCTACAACTGAAACATAGATGCAGAAGCAAGCTGGATGTGGTGAACTATACGGATAGCGGTTGAGCAGGTTCCGTGTTTAGTTTCATGTGACGGAGACGGCGGCACCTTGAGCAAAATGATCCGTGATCGACGAAATACTCAATCGGCGATCTACGAAATGCATGATCGGCCATGTTCGAAATATACGAAAAATTGTCCGATCAATCGAGGTGTTGGTCGCTGGTAGGCTGGCCTGTTTGTGTTTTGGGATGCTTTTGAGGAGGAGAGCGCTTGAGGTGGTTGCGTTGGCATGTTGGTTGATTTTTCTGTGCGAGTCGGGATAATACCGAAAGTTGTCGCATAGTAGTTTTTTTCAAGGGTAGTACCGTCGGCTGGTGCATTTATGCGGCCCAGGGGTGTAATTGTTTTCCTTCTGTAGTTTTCTGTTGTGTTCTGGTGTATTTGCTTTCCTTATGTCTTTATCTATTATGTTCTGAGCCTTTCTTCTGTTCTTGTTTTGCGCTTTTCTCTTGCTTCTTGTCTTTTTCCCTCTCCGTTTTACTCCCGACCCCCTTTTTTCCCCCGTCTTGTTTCGCGACTGTTGAAAAATTGTCGCTACAAGCACTACTATTCGAAATCTACCGTTCCCCCCTGTTGTTGTTGGCGTTACCGCCATCTCCACCAATCAAATGTCCAGGATGCAAAGCTAGGCAAGCTAGTCTCCGAACGAGCGGCCCTTTTCGAGGAGGAAAATCGCCGGATGAACACAGAGCAGGAGAGAATCGTGCTCGAAAAGACCCACGTGGAGAGGGATTGGGCTCATCTAGAGGTAATCCTGCTGTTGTTGTTGTTGTTGTTGTTGTTGTTTTTGTTGGGCACATGCCCCTTTTGGGGGTATGATTTAGCGTCGCCCCCTTTAACGTTTTTCGCCGCTGCGCCGTTTACTTTGGAGATCCGTTGTCTTCTTCGGGAAAAGCTGCCTCAAGCAGAGAAAAGCCATCGGGGGGGGGGGGGGGGGGGGGCAGGGGCATATGCGGTATGATTTGGCGTCGCACCTCTTTTGTGCCGCTGTGCCAATGTTTTGGAAAACCCGTTGTTTTTTCTGCAGGAGGAGCTGTCTCAGACGGAAAAAGCCATCTCCGATCAGACAGGGGGGGAGGATGCGCGCATGTCCAAGCTTCGGCTGATGCGGATGGAGCTAGAAGGCGAGGTCAAGGACCTAGAAGCGCAGCTTGAGGCGAAGAGAGGGGCCCTGAGAGAGGTGGGTAGGGTGTAGTTGGGGTTAAACTGCTGTTGTTGTTGTTGTTGTTGTTGTTGTCGTCGTTTTTGTCGGTGCTATCGTCGCTGCTATCGTCGTTGATGATGATGTTTGTGGTTTTTCTTTGCCTGAGAAGACCGTTCTGACCTCTACCCAGAGAGGGTGCCTTCGCAACATCCTCCTGGTCCTGGATAGAGAGGGAGAGGGAGACAGATAGAGAGAGAGAGAGAGAGAGAGAGAGAGAGAGAGAGAGAGAGAGAGAGAGAAAATTCCCGTGTTATATTCACAGGCGGTACCACTGAACGTAGGCATGGCGTATATCAACCAAGTGTGCACTAGAACACGAAATATATCGTCTTGTGTCGTGATACATCCAGCACAGAACCGTGGTGTGTTTTAATGTCTGCAGGGAGACCAGAGAAAACTCCTAGAACATTTTTTCGACCAAGGAGGTACAACCATCGCTTGCCTAGAAAAGGCGACCGTTCGTTACGGGAGTTTCCTCGGAGTCAGCGCCGCCGATATTGTGGTTGTGGTGGTCGACACAGGGCAGGACTCCCTATACTCCGACTCCAAGGAGAAAGAAAGACTGCTGTGTACAGTGGCCCTCCTCCTTTTCAGTCGGAGTGTACGCAGTGCTGCCCTGCGTCGACAACGACAACGACAACATCAAGGGCCCTGACCCCTAGAATGCTGCTGTCTTCTTGACGCGGCCGCCACAGCAGTTTCGCTGAGGCCTTCTGCCGTCCTGTCCGCCCGCGGGTCTGTGGCTCGTGTGCGTACTCGGAAGCTTGGGCATCCGCCGTCAAGTCTGACCACACCTAAAGGCGCCGCTTCGATGGCCAGGCTTCTCGTCTTGATGAGATTCGCCACTCGTGGTCTTCTGTCGTTTCAGACACCAGCTGCAGCAACTGTTACTGCTGTTTCCTTTTGTTTGTTGCGTATGTTTCCTCGCCCCTTTGGGTCCGATTTTTATTTCTCGATTTGCTCCACGACGAGGAGGGTGCCATTACCAAATGATGCATTTCGAAAACCCGTCGACGAGAGGGACGGTTCCAACGGCGTCATTTTCCGGGACCGTCTGCTGCAGAGTAAATCGTAGGGTGTGCTTTCTTACGTATGCAAGCTACGATACGTGTCTGTGGTTGCTCTCGTGTCCTTACTTCCTCTCGTCGCCCGCTGTTGTTACCGCCGAGACTGTTGTCTTGTCAGCGATTGCCCAGCACCCATCCTGCTCTCTTTTTTTTTTTTCCATCAATGCATGTGTATGCGCATGTATGTACAAGGCGCGCCTCCGGAGTGGGCTCATCAGAGCATGGTAGCATTAATGGTGTCATGAAGGCTTGATGCAAGATGAAAGTAAAGCATGTGTTGTTGTGAAACAGCTGCCAGCTGCCATCAGTGACGGTTCCCAGGCTCCAACAGCTCACACCGGTCATGTATTTTTGCCCGGCGAACCTCAACAAATCAAAGAGCAAAGTATACTATTTCATCTGTGTACACAGTCTTACACAGTCTTACGTCTGTTTTGCGCATGTATGTACACTTGTTGCTTGTTGTTCTGTGGCAGGTGCTGGTTGGTCTAGACGAGGCGGAGGGTCGCATCTCGGCCGTGCGGGGCAAGTTCGAACGGCAGCTTCAGCGGCTGCGCGAGAGGGAACGGCTTGTGGAGGTGTCTCGACAGGACTGTCAGACGGAAGAGGCGTCGCTGCAGGGGGACAGGGACCGCCACCGGGAACTGATGGAACAGGTGATGTTGTTGTCGATGTTGTTTTCGTCGCGTTGTTGTTGTTCTTGTTATGCTTGTAACATTACACCCGTTAACGTCACACCTCACTGTTTGGGTGTCAAATGTTTTTTTTTTTCATGTTTGTCCGTCGATCTACGTGCTGTATACATCTGCCGTCTTCCAGGCGACGAAGGAGCAGCAGGGTTTGATGGACGCCGTGGAAGGAATCGCGGACGATGTCAAGCTCGCTGAAGTACTCCAGGTTGGGTGGGCGGGGGCGTGTGTGAATATTCGCTTTGTTATACATACGTGCGTACATTCGACGTACGCGTGACAACCTTTTCCATTTCATGTACGCGCTGTACCCCCCCGTCCGTAGTGTGTACAGGGCTAGGGTTACCGTAGGGTTGCGCAAGATACCACACCCACCTTCTGGACCGTTTTTCAATCTTCAAAGGTCGATTACGGTGAGGTTGCTAGTCAGCGCACAGGGGTGCGATCGATTTTGAAAGGGTGATTTCTCCACGACCAGGAGGGTTCAAGCGCCAACTGATACTTCTCAGGAAAGCTCTCCACGAGATATTTCCAAAACCGCCCTTTTCGACAGTGGTAACCTCCTGGTTGTGGAGAAATTTCGCTTTGAAAATCGTTCGCACCCCTGTGCGCTGACTTGCAACCTTCCGGTACTTCACGACCAAGAGGATGCAGAAGGCAAACGATGCGTGCTCGGAAAGCTCTCGGCGGGACGGTTCCAACTCCGACATTTTCGGGCACCGCCACTGCTTTCCTTTGCCGAGTAATCAAGCTTTGAAAATCGGCCCAGGGGGTGTGATGTCTTACGTCATGTTATGTCACCTACGGCAGGGTTGTATGTAGTGCCTGCCACCTGCGCTGTGCGCGCATCTCCCGTTGTTCTCCGATCGCCAGGGAGGGGGTCGTAGTACCGACAGTGCTCGCCGCTGGCGTTGTATGCACGTAGCACCCCCTTCGTTCTGCGCGTACCTTTAACTGTCTTTCGATCGACATAGGAGGGGGTTGATCGACCTTCGAAATCGGGGTCGCGGTGGGTGGCAAGGGGTGCATGATGTCTCGGGGTCCTACCTACTGATATCTTGCCTACCCACTTCTTGGGGTCCTATCTACTTCTCCGCCTGTTCCACCGACCTCACTTTTACAAATACGAACCGTACAGAAATTGGATTGTTTGCTGTGTTGTTTGCCGCCCCCCGGGTTCCCTCAGCTGTAGCTGTGACGGATACCGGTGCAACCATGCCTGGACGTCAACCCATGTAGCAGCCTTGCGCGTTCCCCGACACCTGCCGCCGCCCCCCCCCCCCCCAAAGAGCAAAACGCCTCTCTTTTCTTGTCCCGACCAAGACGTAGCAGTCGGCCTTGACCTTGTTTTGGAAACCCGAGGAACACACTGCCAAGAAGAGCCGGGTTATTTTATTTTGTTATTTGTTGGGCTTATTTTCTCGTTTTGTTTTGCGCACTGAAAGGGGCTGATTTTCTTCTTTTTTTTACGCAACTGTTTTTTTTTGCGTTTGTTTTCATTTTTTAAATGGACTTTTTTTTCGTCTTTTTTTTTTCACTGCAACAAAACGCCTCGTTCCATCGCGAAACGGCCCCCTCTCCCGCGACCGACACGCAGTCGACCCTATCGAAGCACTGGACGTCCGAGTCGCGAACCGGAACGGTCCCTGCAGACGAGAAGAACGGCGCGGAGACCGGCGACGAGGATTCGCGGAACGATGCTCGGGACGACGCTCTGGTGGCGCTTCGGTCGGAGGTAACCAGTACCCTTCGTAGGCTTTTTTCTATCAAGTAACAATTCTGGATAAAGCATGCAATCGAGGAAGTTGGGTTAGGGTTGTAGGGATAGGGTCTGCGTACCCCTTCCCTGTTCTGTTTCCTCGTACACATAATTTCTCGCGATTGCGGTTCCGAGAGAACCCGCCCCGGCAAGCTTGAGGAAGAAGACACGACGCGCTTGGCTGTGCCGAATGAAATCACCCGGTGGATTCCCGGAAAGCCTTTCATTGTTGGACGTCGTCCAATGCCAGCACGACGCAACGTGCTTGCCGTGTCGACGTGAACATCAAATGTTGTGGGACTACAAAACAGTGTTGTGTGACCTGCATCAACAGAACGCACGTGAATTGTCCCCCCGTGCGACCGCACATAGAGGGGGCAATAACGACAACAGTAACAGTAGCAGCTAACACCGACCCGAAAATCTACAACCAACTGCAACAAACACAGCTACAGCGCAATACCGAATACAACCTACAACAAGCAACGGTTGTCCGCCCCTTGAACGCGTAGGTGGAGGGCGCGCGATCCCGGTACGAGCTGAAAGGCCGGGCCGTGGCTGCCCTCGACGAGCGGAAGGATGTGCTCAAGGCAGAGATGGCCACAAATGCGGATGCTCTGCCAGACCTCGAGCAAAGAAAGAGGGTAAGTTACGGGCACAGCACGGTCGGTGGTGACAGGGAGAGAGCTCCTCCTATCTCTTAAGCCTAGGATGCCTTGCCTGACCTTGAGCAAAGAAAGAGGGCGAGTCACGAGGACCGTAGGTGGCGACAAGAGAGATTGAGAGAGAAAGATCCTCCTAAGCCTTGGATTCTCTGCCTGACCTTGGGCAAAGAAAGAGGGCGAGCTACGAGGACCATAGGTGGCGACAAGAGAGATTGAGAGAGAAAGCTCCTCCTAAGCCTGGGATGCCTTGCCTGACCTTGAGCAAAGAAAGGGGGCGAGTCACGAGCACCGTAGGTGGTGATAGAGATAGAGATGGTCCTTGTTTCGTTGTCTCACTCCTGGGATTGATGCGGATGGTGTGGAGGTGCCGAGGAAATATGTTAATGATTTGCATGTGACCGCAGCAACAACGGCAGCGTTACAATGGGGAGCACCTTCATTGCTGTCTCTTCTCTCGCAGGCGGCGGTGGGCGCGAAAAACTACAAAGAGGCCGGCCAAGTTAGCCGTCAGATTAAGGAGACGGAACGACGGCAGCAAGAGGCAAGGATGCCTTTTCTTGTCTCTTTGGCGTGTCGATCTTGCTTGTCCCCAAATTTAGCACACAACCCTGCTGTTGTTGCTCTTGTTGCTCTTGTTGTTGGTCTGCATTGCAGCCTGGAAAACCGTGAGTTCGCCATGTTGGGGGTTCGAATCGTGGCGCGGTGCTTTTATTTCGCAATACCTGGTAGTGGAAAGCGCTCGTGATTGGTGGGCACCCTTTCGTGAGTCTAGCTGAACCCTTTTTTCGTGAAAACTGCATTCTTACGGAGCAAGTGGAGAGCGGTCGTGAACCAAAACCCCTTTCTGTTAAGGATAGCGAGATAGCTGAACACTTCTCCCCGGTACGGCTCGGAGAACGCGCCGCAGTCTTTTTTTTTTTTTCTGTGACCGACCGCGGATCGGAGCTCTCCATCTAGATATACAAGGCCGGAGGGTGTTGAGATAGTGCGCGAGCGACGTTTAGGTGGGCGAGCTGGGAATATAATTCTTTGCGAAGGGGGGGGGGGGTTCGTCACTTTTTATCAGCACTCGCAGCGTTTCTGGCGGGTCCTGTAGGAGCTAAATAGCTCAAATCCGTGGTCACACAGAAGGGTAACGCTCCCAGAGGCCCGCCCGCTACCCGTCCCTCCTGAAGGGTATTGCACGACGAAAATGAAGTCATGTTATGTTACCGCCCGACCAGGTGTTGGAGCTGCTGTCGGACTTGGAGCACAGCGTAGCGGAGGGGTCCGCGGCCCGGAAAGAGCTGGAGGGTACCAAGACAGGCAAGCCAAACACGACCTCCCCCCCCCCCCCCCCTCCCCTTTTTACTTTTTCCCTCTCCTCCTTCTCCTCTCCCC